GGCTGGGAGGTGCTTCTGGAAGGCACGGGGAGGGGTAGGGGTGGGGCTGCCCGGTGCTGGTCCGTGCAGGGTTCGCCCTGATCTTACTGCTGAGGAGACTGTCGAAGTTGGAAGCGTCTCTTTCAGTCCTCCAGGCAGCGACGGGGCCGGAGGAGACTTGAGACAAGCCCCTCTCCTGTTGCTGTTGGATTTGTGCTGGAGGCTGTGGTGACCTGCTTGGTGCTGCCTGCAGCAGTAGCTCTACACCAACAGGTGTTGACTTCCAGGGGACTTCTCTCAAGGTGAGATCTTCTCTAGAGCACCCTGGGGTGCCGATGTGACATGGCTCCATATAACTTGGTGATTGAACGCAAAAATGCTTCTTTGATCCTGTTCATGGGGTGGGCCCGTGGCCCGTTGTGCTGGCAGGAGGTAGAAATATGATGGGGTTTTCAGATGGTACTGGAGATCCATCTGTTGCTATAGCTGTAAAAGCCCCAGAGTCTGCTAGGGAGAGTTAGGTCTGCTTTTTCCTCCTGTTGATGTTTCTTTTGTACCAGCCAAAATTATCTTGGAAAAGCTTTTTGATGTTTCGGGAGCTTAGCTAAGGCATCACCTTCATGAAGGGTGCTTGTTCTGGCATTTTTAATGTGTTCAGCAGCTGCATCCGTGGTGTCAGGGGAGTGAACTAGGTGAATCTCAGTACCTGTCCAAAAAGAATCAACATTATAGATGTATAAAAAGCTAATGAGGAAACAGGAGGGGGCAGCAGTAAACATAACGGAGCTTAGCCAGTGCTTTGATGCGTAAGCCTTCTTTAAGTCATGGGGATAAGTTGTTCCTGAGAATGTGAGTTTGGGCAACATCTTGGAGTGCACCACTGCTCCATTCACCTGTTGTCACACAGCTGGCTGTTGAGTTCAGTTGTGTGTCTGCGATTAGAGTCCCACCAACTTAACATCTCAACAATTTATTTGCTTGAAAATTTGCTTCAGATACCGTAGTGTCTCATCTGAAGTCTCTGTTAGTCTTTTCATTTATCGATCTTTAAACCGTGTTTTTACGTGTTGTTAGTTTTCTTTATTCAAGGGCCATGTGTGTCTGCAGCTCTGAGCAAAAAATCACACCTGCCATATGGTTAAGCATTTGAAAAAGGGCTCAGAAACATGGCAGAATTTCCCATCCTTGCATATGATCAACATTCACTGAATGTGGACCTCGAGTATCTGGCTATGGCTTTGAAGTCAGATCTTGTTCTGAGAGGGAAGTTGGACTAGAAATCACTGATCCCTTCCAGCCTTATTTTTCTGGTTTTCTCTTACACATTGCGTTCTTCTTGAGAACCCAGCAGGTTACTTCGGCCACGAAGCAACCAAGTCCTTTTTGCAAGGATCACAGAGTTACTTTCTCTCATGCATAATCCATCATATGAGGTCTATTGGATAGAGGCCTAATATATGGTGTGCAGGTTTTTAACAGCAATCCTCAACTGACACAAATGATTTATAAGGATGCTGCAAAAGGCTGGATTTTACTCCAAACACCATGGTTTAAAATATTAGCTGAACATTCAGTGGAAATCTCTGGATACACTTACCTTAAATCCTTTGACCTGAGTATGTGCTTCCCTGAGTTTGTTACCTTGCCATGATTTCTGCAACTGTTACTTAACATTGTTTTCTGTGATTTCACATGCCATGGTTATTGCTAGTGATCTGCCCACAGGCTGTAGTAGTTTTTCACTCAAGAGGTTGTGGTGCTGCTTCTTGGCTGCTAGTCCAGGCTAGTTTAGGAATGGAAAAGGGAGAAAACAGCTACATAGAGGTCGTCTCACCCAGGGAAGGCAGTGAATAATGACCAAAAAGTGGAAGTCAGAGACCTTGGCTGGGCAGTTTGAAAGCTAAGAAACATGTTTTTGTCATATGTCAAACCTGAGTTTATTCCTCCTTTTTTGTTTGCTGCAGGTTCTATAACAACTGGTAATCTAGTTGGAATCTGCTGTTACTCACTCACCTAGAGAATTTCCTATTTTGATCTGCTTCCGAGTATATTTCCAAGTATATTGAAAGAGATGAAAAAAGGACCAGAAATCGGTGCTTGTCTCCTTGCTGCTCCAGGCAATTTAGTGGAGTCAAATCCAGACAATAACAGCAGCAATGGAGCCTCGGCCAAAGAGAAAAACATGCTTTCCTCTGCTGCAGAACTGGAAAACGTACAGCTGCAACCCAGCAAAGAAACATCCAGAAAAAAACTCTGTGGCTATTTAAATAAGCTGGGCATCAAGGGCCCAATCAAGACCTGGAAGTCTCGCTGGTTCTTTTATGATGAAAACAAATGTCATTTACTGTACTACAGAACTGCACAGGACATAAACCCTTTGGGGTCTATTGATCTCTCCAGTGCCAGCTTTGACTGCAAGGTGGAAAATGGGGAAGGGGTTTTTGAGATCAGAACACCAAGCAGAGTCTTCACTTTGAAGGTAATGGACAACATCTTCTTGTGGAGGCTGTACTGGAATATTCCCAATCAGGACAGGCACAACTCTGTTAAGATATCTCTTAACTTGAGTTTCACTTTGGTCCTCCCAGCCTGCATTATTACCATAAACTAGTCCTAAACTACTTGCATTGTTTTGGCAAAACTCCCTGTGAGATGACCACTGTTTAACAGAAGTAAAAGTCTTGCTGGGTGTTGAATTAAAATCGTTGCAGAGTCCTGCAGTCCACATGTAGTTCACTGGACAGAAATGAGCTCCCCTGTCTAAAATGGTTGCTCCAGAAGGAAGTTCTGCTAGATTTTTATCTTTCTGAAAATGGCTGCTGTGGATAATTCCTGGCTAATACAATTGTGACACTTCTCCTTAGCCTTGGAGTATAGTAAAACAGAAAGTCTTTAAAAGGAGATCAGTGGTCCACTGAGATTTTGTTATCAAGGGCATGCTGAGGATTTACTCTGTCCTCCCAAATCAGTGTTAAGGCCAGAGAATATATGGTGGGCTTGACACAGGTGGTCCTTGTTTCTGCTGACTTGGGCAGCAAAGGTCCTTCAGGATATGTCTCATGCTGACGGGATTACTGCCTTTCCTGTTTTGTGTTGTGTTAGGCAATCAGCAAACAGGCAGCAATGTACTGGCTGCAGCAGCTACAAACGAGACGCTGGGACTTTTGCAATGCTCAACGCAGATTTCCTGTGGGCAGCTCCCAGCTTGTGAATGAATCCCTGGCTGGCAGAACAAGTAGGTGACACATATGTCAGTCTTTCTTTTGCATTCACCAGCTCAGTGATAAATGGTGCTCCTCATCTACAAGTGGGCATAGGTTTTGGCCAAGTGTCTAAATGTAGGTGCCAACTATCAATGCTTGGTTGATGTTTGCAGCTTCTGGTTTTATTATGGATGAATGTGAAAGGACTATCTCCTAATCCACATCACGTGGTTGGGGATTCCCAGCTATCTTATGATCATGAATTCCCTCTTGATTTTCTCATGCATGTGAAGTATGCATGTTTGGTATACCCCTTTCCTCTTGTGAGGCCTGTGAAATTTACAGCAAGCAAGTTTTTTTCCCAGAAATGGTGAGATGAAGATGTGCATTCCTAGTAGTGGGTATACACAGACCAGTGGCCCAGGGGAGGGTACAAGCAGGTTGTCCACCTGTTTGTTTATGACTAGATGCACATTTTATCTTAAACTAATAGCCTGCTCTTTAGTAAGTGTCTGCTCTGAAAAGTTCTGGGTACCTTGGCCTTGTGCTACAGCAGGCAATACTTAAGTAACAAGCTCTTTTTGTGGAATGTTACCTGCACATTAAAACCATCAAACACTGTTTGGTATGGGCAAAAAGAACACCATCTTCCTTCCTTATTCTCTTAGGTAGTTAAAGTTTGATTGTTTAAGGTTAGTCATTCTCATATAAAAAGGGTTGAAGTTACTTAATTGTCCTTGCATAAATGACTGCATTTGTACATGGAACCTTCTGTAATTTGACCTAAAACTAAGGAAACCTGCTCTGCTGTCCTTGTTCCATCTGTCCAGCTGAACATGCAATGTATAGCTGCAGTAAACTGCTTGGCTGTCATGTTACATGAAGAAGCCAAGGGCAATGGAATTCTGTCTTGCTCACTTGCTTCTTTTGTCCTCATTTGGTTTTACATAGATGTTGACAATGAAGACTTTCTGCCTCCTGTGAAAACACCAACAGAAGCGGTGGGTTTAAAGGCAGCATCTTTGCCTGCACCTCAGACATCTACTGCTTTGCAGAACATCTCCCTTAAGCACCCTTGGACAGAGATACAGTAAGTGCATGAGGAGAGCTGCAGTGGTTGACATGCTGGCCTTCTACTTTGTGCCTTCCTTCTCTGCCTCATGTTATGTGAAATGCAGCTCTTGCCTAGGGGGAAGAGCCATGAAGCAGCTTTCTGAAGGATACTACAGAATCACAGAATCATTCTGGTTGGAAAAAGCCTCTAAGATAATTGAGTCCAACTGTATCCTAACTACCAGCCATTAACCTAACTCTACCGAGTCCAGTGCTTAAACCATGTTCCAGAGCATCATGTCTACATGATATTCCAGGCGATAATAAACTTCCTGCCAGAGGATCTTTCACAGCCCCCTCAATGCATTTCACATAATCTAACTCTCCTAGCAAAGATAGCAGCAGACCTAGAGCTTGGTGAAGCTTTCTTCAGTGCAGGTAGTGGTTTGCATGCACATGGGCAAGTTGAGCTGAACTCTAGGCTGGGGATAGAAGCCCAGTAGCACTTCCCAGTGATTTCAAAGGACCTGGAATGTAGTGCACTCTGTAAAGCATGAATTCCAAGCCAAAGGTGTTTGAACCTGTAATATGGCCCAGCACTGCACAGCTTGCTACTCCTTACAGAGTTTCAAGCATGTCAGTATTCCTACTGCCTGCAGTGACACTGCTGTCTGCAATTCGGGGCTGCCTTGAGCAGTTACAGTTGCACAAAGGCAACCCCCATCAGTATCTTCTAGGTTTGTGCCAGTCACTTATTTACATATACCCCAAAATGTCTAAGTGACCACAGTTAGAGTAGGTAGCCTGGCACTTGCCGAGTGTTTTTGGTGGGCAGGTTGGCTATAGTTTCTTATCACCACTACTGTGTCTACAATCTGATACCAATGGGAAGAAAGATCCCCGATGGGACCAAAGAGGGTCAGAGTCAGCTGTACTATTTTGCAGGCTTTGCATTCTCTCCTTCTCTCTTCAATTAAAAATAACATGATTGTATCTCCTCCTCCCTCCCCAGCTTTGCTTTTACTAGCCTGGATAACAGTTGCCTCTTTTCAGCTTCAAATTGTATTGCTCCCCTGGTTCTGTGAACATTTCTCCAGGCTCTGTTAGTATCAGCCTGGGTCTTCATGAGTGTAGCATGCCTGATCTAATTTCAGTTCATTAGATCCCTGTCCTGCTGCTGACTTGAGTTAAAACAAAGTGCAGTATGAGACAGAGAAAAGTAGGAAAGTTGCAACGGACAAGTGCCAACTGCAGACCACAGGGGATGAAGGTCTGCTGATTTTATGTGCCAATATGTTCTCTGAGGTCAGAAATGTCTGCTGTGGAGTCTTATAGTAAAGAAGCAAAAGGAGAACAATATCTAAATGCCAACTTAATTTACAGTTAGGAAGCAGCTGACACTGAGCCTTTTGCAGATCTCAAAACAAGGGCCTTGTTTTGTTTTAGCTTGTGGACAACACAGGAGAAGAAAGGAAAAGACCTGTACAGAGACAGGCAATTGTCTCACTTTCCTGTACAGGTTTTACAGAAAATACTTGTGCATTTGTGGTTCTGCATGAAGCTGTAAAGTCATCCCTTGGTGTTTCTGGCAATATCTGATAGCAGTGCCTGTTACAGGCTGTTTCTGGATCTGATTGGAATTTTGTTCCTGAATCTCTTTACTGCATCAAATTCTATTGAGTTTGCTGTGGCAACATTATTAAATGTGGTTCAGAGCACAAGGACTGTGGCTGCTTTAAATGTCATAATTGTGGCAATTTTGGCTGTGTTGTAGATAATTCAGGTAACTGAGCTTTTTTTGGCACCTGGGAATTTCCATAGTGAGCTAAGGAAGGGAAGGGAGGGAGTGGAGGAAGAAGGAGAAGAGGGAGAGAAAGGTGTTACATGATTGATCTACTGTTACCTTTGATCCTTCTCTCCAGCCAGAAGCATTTATGTATAGGTCTCAAGCACATGGGGAAAAATCTCCAGCTGATTTACATTTCTGTGCTGGTAATGATTTTGTGGCATCTTTCTGATTTACACCAGTTCAGACCTTGCTCCCCTCAGATCCAATAGTGCATTGAGCAGTTAATTTTTTCAGCACATGAAGGAAACAAGTTTTGGGAAGA